AACAATAGCCATATAAGGTCTACTCGGACACGCATATCTTTCTATTGTACTAAGACCCGCCCATTCTCTTGCCATAAAAGAACATATTCTCACAAACCTGGCCGCATTTAGCTGTGATAGGGTCTAAAAAATCGAAGATAATGCAGTATTCTTTACAATTAAAATATGTCTGAACTATTGAAACTATCCAAAAGGCGTCGTATTTATTCACTCATGTTTGAAAACTACCAACATTGTTGTAGATTAAACATAATTCGTCGTGGAAAAAGGGGCCCCAGATAACAGTTATGTCACCTCATCCTTTTCTTTCATAAAAATATTAGATGGTATTCGTGGGATTCGATCCCTAGCAATAAAAATCCGACGAATCTTTCTGCTTTGAGAATGAGACTAACGCGCTAACCTCTATGCTACATTGCTTATGATAATATTGGGCATTTAAATCATGTTTGTGATATGACCCTTGTCTTAATGGACTTAAAGTATTTTTCGGAAAGATGCTAATGTTGTATCATAAAAGTGTACTTTTAAGGTATAGTGGGTCTTCTTTCCATGTTTTTGTAAACCAAAAATTGTATATTCTATTGCAAAGTTTTAGGATCATCTTTTAAAAAATGGAACGAAGACCCACTCATATTGAAAATTTTTGTAAAAGTGTGAGAAAATGATCGTTTTTGTTCTTTTTAGTGTTTGTATGCTTTTTCTTAGCCAAATATTTTCAGTCTTTGTGAGATTTTTGTAAATTGAGGAGATTTTACAGTAAATATACGCTATTATTAGATAAAATATCAAATAAAATTTAGATATAATTTAGATTTAATTTTTCACTTCTTATCTGTCGCACTATAGGCACTTCGCTCGCCTTATCCCCCATCTTCTTTGATGGATCTACTATCATCTCTTTAGGACATTGACAAAGTGGTTCGTCTCTCCGTTGGACAAAGTGTGTCTCATTTAATTACTCCTTCACTTCTTCTTTGAACAGTGAAGAGTCCCTAATCTTTCTCCGCCTATAAGCTCATTTGTAAACTTAAATTGGTTCTTCATAGGCATTGCCCTGCTCTTTTCTCTTTCCTTCTTCCTCTGCCTCAATTGCTCCACTCTCTGTAGCCCTGATAGCTCTGACCTGGTGTTATCCGTCTACTGTGCTATTTCAGCTTTTCCCCCAGTCCCTCATTTTTTAAATTGTTTGTTCAGCTCGTTTAGTCCCACATATTTAGGGGCTGCTCTTTATCCTCGTTTCTTGCCTTCCCTTCCACCGCCCCAAATCGCTGTTTCTCAATATTATTGTTCTGTTGTTCTAGGACGACTCAGACACGGAGAGATTCCTTGTTATGTGGGTTGTGTCCTGGCCAGGATCCTCCTGCGTCTCACAAGTTATTTCTATGCGCTTTTCCTGGGTTGTCACACTACCACATCGACTTTTTGCGTGGTGTACCTTCAGTCATCAGATGTTCTTGCAGACTTATGTGCATTTTGTTTCAGCATTTTCCTCCATCTAATGTTAGTTGCACCATCTTTAATTTCAGACAGTATGTGGATTGTTCCTTGTCGTAACTGTTTGATCTGTCTGTTGGAGCCTCTCACCCCCCCCCCCTCTTTTGCGAGGCTCTAGAGGTGTTGATCATTTTGTTCCGTCATATCTAATTACGGTTTTCCTCACAAGGGACTGTACAAAGGGAAGCTTCCCCTTGGTACCCGTACACAAACTATTCCTAGCAGTCACCTGTCTCTCCAGTGTCATCGGTATTCCTCAGTACCTGTCCAGTCTTTCCTGGCAGTCACTGGCTTCCATTTTAATAGTATTCACTTACAGAAGATGGTTTTCTGCTAACTGTCAGTTTAGCACTGTTAAGCAAGCCTGTTGCTATTTGTAACTATCGCCCCTGGTGCTAGCCTGTCGGTTTTGATCGTCGTCAGATGGTCTCTAACCTTCACCGGATGTTACGACCCTCAACCATTACATCTTCCAGTCAGTGGATCAGCAGTGATGGTAAATCCACTACTCGACCAGAATTCTTTGAATTTGCTTGTTCATTGTTATTTTCTAAGTTATCATACCTGTAGTTATTTATTTGCAGAGTCCATTCAATACGTTGACATATTCTCTGATTGGAGATGACTCAGTCCCTTCTGTGTTTCAAATCAACCCAAGTACTGGAGCAATATCAACCAAACCAACAACAAACTTAACAAGTACCTCTGGAAACTTTGTGGTAAAAATATGCTTAGAATACCTGCGATTGTTAATAAAGAAATTTATAACAATTAAATCAGACATTTATGGATTTGAGGCATAGTCACCAAACATAAAACTGTTCAACCGTTTAAGATAGCTTGTTTTTTTTCCTTTTTGTCTCACAGGCCCGAGTACAAGTGACTGATGGTGGATCACCTCCCTTGTCGGATACTGCGACAATCTCCATCAATGTGGAAAGAAACCTGAATTCACCACGTTTCCTGCATCTCAATGATCTCACCGTAAATATCCCAGAAATTCTACCTGCCGGCTCAGATGTCATCGACCTCAATTCCACAGATGACGATGCTTATGTAAGTTGGATAAAAATAATAATCTAAAAAGCAAAAGAGCAGAATGAATATGTATATTTAAGTAAAGGTATTAGATAGGTAAAAAAGCACCAGATTTTGTAACAAAAAAGTTGTATGGTAATGTTTATGATCTTTTTTTGATAAAAAAAAATTGCTAGTTCAAGTGTATGATTTTTCTTTGGTAAAAAATTTGATGTTCATGTTTATGAATTTTCTGTGGTAAAAAAATGCATGTTCTTGTTCATAATTTTTCTTTGGAGTTTCGCCGGAGATTTAATTGACACATTGTTATCTCTTTTTCCCTTTTTTCAGATACCAAACAACGTCATATTTTATGTCATAACAGGAGGAGTTGGAAATCCAAATGAATATTTCTTCATAAACCCTGGCAATGGAGTTATTGTCCTTCAGAAATCTGTAAAATCAATCTCCACCAGTAATTTCAGGGTATGGCAATATGTGCTTCCACACCATGTACCTGTTGTTTTTTTCAGTGACTCAGTTTTCAGTTTTTAGTTTTATTTCAGTACATACCCTTCTGTACATGTGAAATCAGTATCAATTTTTACTGACATCCAAATTTCTTTTTATTATTCATGTTGAATTTACAAACTTCTAGTATCTCAAGTTTCACTGTAATTAGTGCCAATGGTAAATAGCATATTTCAGTTGAATTCAATGAACAGTAAATGATATACTTATCATGATTTTAAATCTAAACATCCTAAGTAAAGAATAATTGCATTACAACATTTGAGAAGAATATTATGCTGAGAAAAAGTGATGATTAAAGTTGATTTCTGTCAGTCTGTGATTTGATTCTTTTCTTTTGTATTTATAGCTGACAGTGGAAGCCAGAGATCAAGGAAGTCCCCAGCGGTTTGCTACTGCCACAGTGCACATTAATGTACTGAGAGACAGTGGAGTGCTTACTTTCTCTGCCAATAATTACAACGCCACAATTGGTGAGAACACGCCAGTCAGTACATCAGTTGTAACAACAGTAGCCTCTCCTGGGGTATGTTCAGAATCAAACGAATTCTTACTCTGTGTTGTGAAACGTGTTCTTTTGTCAGAAGTGAAAACAATTTTCAGAGTATGCATTTTTTTTGTCCTATAACTATTCAATTGAATTAAATGGAGTGTGGTTTTGCGTTTGAACAGGCCAGCATTGTGTATTACTTGCTTGGTATAGGAACTGGATCTGATTATTTCAGTGTCAATCCAACCTCAGGACAAGTGAATGTTATACAACCCCTTACCAAGGATACATCTCGACTCACTTCCTACAGGGTATTACAAAAAGTTTATGCAAATATTAAGTCGATTTTAATATAAAGAAAAAATCAGTATGTTGTATGTCTAGTGAACTATCTACAATTTCAGCCTTCCAAATTTCAAGGAATTTTAGACCAATGGCTTTCAATTATATGCAAAAACTTATTCAGAAATACTGTACATCAACTTAATTTTTTTTCTTTTCAGTTGTTTGTTCAAGCAGTAAATCATGGGATATCAACACAGACTGCCACATCTACCGTCAACATTATAGTCACCCGTAATGAAAATGGTCCAGTATTCCAGCCTACTTCATATGTTATTACTGTGCTGGACACTATTCCACTAGGTTCCAACATAACTCAAGTGACTGCAAGTGATGCGGACAATGTAAGTACACGTGCTGGTTAATTAAAAAATTAAAAATTAATTAAAACGAGAACTATCGTCAAATGGTTTGGAGAAAGTTTTAAAGTGGAAAGACAAGAGTAAATAAGTAAATTGTTTCCTGCATCAATAAAGATGCTGTAACTTTTTTCCTTTATTTGTTTGAAGGACCCATTGAACTACAGAATACTGAGTGGCTCCCCCTACACTGAGCTGTTTTATCTGGACCCAGTGACAGGGGTCATCACATTGAAGAGTGTTCTCCTAGGAAGGACCGAAAACCAGTACACTGTAAGTGAACTAATTTAACAGGAGGAACTAACTTGACCATGCATTAAAAGTAAAATGCTAGTAGTTGATTATCATTTTGTTTATGAGGCACTTATATTATTGAACAATGTCAAGGACTTGGTTTTATTACTATAGTTCACAGTACAGGCTAGTGACCAGAGGACTCCTGAAAAAACAGCCACAGCCAACGTCGTGGTCAATGTAATTAAGGATCAGTTCAGCCCCGAGTTCATCCGTACTCCGTATAACGTTCAAACGACCGAAAATACCCCGGACGGAACCATCATCTTCAACACGGAGGCCATAGACCGAGATCTTAAAGTATTTGTTCTTGAGAAAGAAATTAAGTGGAAAATACAAAATATCCTTGTACTAAGCATTATGTTCTACGGTTTTGCTTACACATCTTTTTAGGTATTCCATTAATTGACAACCAAAAATGTATCTTAATTCCAGAAATGCATACACAATTCAAATGCTTTCATACAAAAAGTTAATTTTGTTTCAATTTCTATATTTGATCAAAAAGTTACTTTAAGGGTAGAATTTTGATAAATTGCTGTTTTCAGGAGAGAATTGCATACACTGTTATTGGTGACAATGCTGCCCCAGCCTTTTTTGGTGTGATCTCTGACAGAGGGAACATAACAATTATAAATCAAGCCCTTCTCAGGAAAGATATGGACACCAAATACACAGTAAGTAGCTTTGGAGTGATTTTTAGTGGTAACCACTTGTGTGAGCAAGTTAACAAACTAAAAAGCTAAAGATTGAACAAAGCTGATACTACAAATAAGTAAACAGTATGCATCTATAGAGTGACTTATAGTTGATAAATTAATCCATCTTGAACTGTAACAATTTTTGGATATCATCAACAAGATAACATATAGATGGATAACTTTAAGAATAAAAACGATTCTTAAGAAGATGTGCTATCTGTTGATGTGCGAAATTGTCATGATTGACGTTTTGCAGCTCCGACTCACTGCCCATGATAAACGATATCCCAACAATAAAGTCAATGAAACTGTCACCATTACTGTGAAGAGGAACCTGAACGCTCCTGTTTTCTCTCTACCAAGCTACAGTCGAACCGTTCTGGACACAATTCCTATCGGAGATCAAGTGGTTCAAGTTAATGCAACAGATGCTGATAGAGTGAGTTTTACAAAACTTTCTAATAATTAAATCACAGATGTTTATTATTTAACTGGCTGATTTTTTTAATGAAACTGTTTTAAAAACATTCTGATTGTATGCTCAAGTACTCTGAAGATGACGTCAAAAAGATGCTTGTGTTTCTGATTGACAATATCTATGTGTCTTTTGGAGACCAGATCTTCCAACAATCCATTGGAATTTCCATGGGTACCAATTTGGGCCCAGTTATAAGCAGACCTATTTTTGTATTCATATGAAGCAGAATTTTTCCAAAGTCTTATACGTGAAAAGAAGAAAACACTTGCCGTGGCTTTCATCTCGACATTTAGAAATATCGACGATGTATTGTGAATTAAAAATTGTAATTTCCATTTTTACATGTTTGTCGATACGATATATCCTGGTGAGCTTGAGATAAAAGATACCACAGAGTCTGACCTATCTGTTTCATATTTGGATATTTTACCTGAAAAATATATTAATGATAATCTAACCACCAAGCTCTATGAGAAACGTCATGACTTTTTCTTTACAATCCCCAACTTTCCTTACTTCTGCAGCAATATACCTTCATCACCTGCATACGGGGTTTATATATCTTAGTTCATTCGAAATGATTGAGCATGCTCTACTTACGACCAATTTCTAAAACGATATAAATTATTGACGAACAAGTTGATGAAACAAGAATACCAGCAGTCTCGTTTAAAGTCATTATTTCATAAGTTCTATGGTCGATACAATGACCGTGTCAGCAAAAACAATTTATCATTGAGTCAAATGCCGACTGACCTTTTTCATACTATTTGTTAGTCTATTATTTATGCACTGAATATACACGGATTTTCCCGTTATTTCCCGATCATGACAAGCTGAAGGAAGCATTTTGTTTTATTTCTTTGTCTTTCAGCCATTGATTAATTTTGATGAAGTCTGTTCTTTTATATTGTAACTAATTTAATTTTGAAGGAATTAAAGAATTTGAAAGAATATATTTTATCTGCTTTATGTTAAACATTTCTTGAGATGAATGAATCAGTAGCTTTATGTAAACAACCCTTTTTCTGAATCAATATTGTTTTTTTCAGGATCCTGTTTCCTATATCTTAGCTTCAGGAGGAGACACAGGGACAGATGATTTAAATTTCTTTTATTTGAATGCAGAAATAAGCCTTAAATCTTTACTCGATCACGTCAATATCAGCTAATAGAAGAGTTGTCCGTAAAGTTCGTAGACAATATTGATAATTACTGCAAAACATTGATAAAATATTAATATGAAACTATTATTTTCATTAATTTCATGTTCAATTTTATTAAAATGCTGGTTTTAAACAAATACAAAGCACAAATACAAGACACTTTAACCAGTCATAAAAAATGTTTACAATCTTTTCAGGTTTCATATGTTAAATAATAAATCTAACACTTCCTGTCTCAGATTCTGCAAATCATGTTCTCGTAATTGAAAGCGACTTTATTTACCGAAACAGGACAAAGTCACTTTACGATATTCCTTTTTTACAGCACTGCAATCTGGGAATGATGGTCTTTCTTATACTCGTGTCATCCTGTAAACTGTTCCCTTCTCTTCGAAAGTTTGATATGTCATTTAAATTCTAAAAAACTGGCTTCCTTTTCCCATCTTTTCCCGACTGTTCACAAAATATTTTGGTCTCTTGTGGAATTTTCCGAAGTCTACGCAGAATTTTATCGCTGCTCTCTGCTCTACCTTTTCCGAAAACATCCTTTTTTCCAACAATGCAGTTCCTGTCTAGATTCTAACCTCGATATCTCAACCATTTTGGAAATGTTGAAAGTTCAAATTTTGCAGGGTTGACGTTATAACTTTTGTTAACCTCATTATGTTAAAAGCGTGTAAATATCCGCAATTTTTTTCAAAATGCAAATGAAACATATAAAATGATAAATTTCTTTTTAATTAAATTTTGTGGTGTTCCGGGTCACCATCCCAAATCTAACAATGAAGCCATTATTGCAATTATATCTTTGAAATAGAATATAATTTTACATTTTGTAAATCACATTTAGTAAAGGATTATATATATATATATATACATGTACTAATAATAAATATCAATGACAAAATTTTATTTAAATTTTATCTTGTCTACGAACTTTACGGACGACCCTCGTACATCTAAAATTTTCTTGTGTCTTTATGATTAATTACAATGTTCTTCATTATTTTTAAGGATATTCTCCGGTTTACAATGAAAGCTAATGGTGATTCCCAAATACAGGAAGAAGTCCAGACATATTTTGGCATTGACCCTGATGATGGAATAGTCTACCTCAAACAATTACTGACCAGAGTTCCACGGCAATATTACCAGGTATTTTTTTTTTAAATATGTGGTTTATAGCTGTTGATGAAAAATAATGTATAATCTAATAGAAAAAAATCGCTGTTATACATCCTTTCACAAAAAATATTAACACCTAAATAAATTATTTGGCTCTTTTTAGCTCACCTGAGCCGAAGGTTCAAGTGAGCTTTTCTGATCAAATTTTGTCCGTCGTCTGTCGTAGTCGTTGTCGTCGTCGTCGTCGTTAACTTTTCATATTTTCGACTTCTTCTCAAGAACCACTGGGCCAATTTCAACCAAACTTGGCACAAAGTATCCTTAGGTGAAGGGAATTCAAGTTTGTTCAAATGAAGGGCCACGCCCTCTTCCAAGGGGAGATAGTTATGAATTAGTGAAAAATTAATGGCATTCTTAAAAATCTTCTCAAGAACCACTGGGCCAGGAAAGATGAAACTAATGTGGAAGCATTCTAAGGTAGTGTAGATTCAAGTTTGTTCAAATCATGACCCCCGGGGGTAGGGCGGGGCCACAATGGCCGATCAATGTTTTACATAGGAGCATATAAGGAAAATCTTTAAAAATATTTTTCTCAAGAACCACTGGGCCAGGAAAGATGAAACTCATGTGGAAGCATCCGCAGGTAGTGTAGATTCAAGTTTGTTCAAATCATGACTCGCGGGTGTAGGGTGGGGCCACAATAGCGGAGCAAAGTTTTACATAGGAGTATATAGGGAAAATCTTTAAAAATCTTCTTCTCAAGAACCAATGGGCCACGAAAGATGAAACTCATGTGGAAGCATCCTCAGGTAGTGTAGATACAAGTTTGTTCAAATCATGACCCACGGGGGTAGGGTGGGCCCACAATGGCTGATCAAAGTTTTACATAGGAATAAATAGGAAAAATCTTTATAAAAATCGTCTTCTCAAGTACTTCAAAGCAAAGATTAGTGATATTATAGGAAGAAAATGTTTTTAAGAAATCTTTTTATCAAGAACAGCAAAGTCATATGCTGTATTAATATGAAGGCATTCTAAAGTAGTATTAAATTCAAGCCCCCCTTTAATAAACTTTTCAGGTCTGATCTGATGTGTTTTTTCCTAGACGATTTGCTCAGGTGAGCAATGTGACCCCTGGGGCTCTTGTTAAATCTGTTTTTAGATCTCTCTGAGCCGTAGGCTGAAGTGTGATTTTCTGACCAAAATTTGTCCTTTGTCTGTCGTTGTTGTCGTCGTCATTGTAAACTTTTCATATTTTCATCTTCTTTTCAAGAACCACTGGGCCAATTTTAACTAAACTTGCCACAAAGTATCCTTATGTGAAGGGGATTTAGGTTTGTTCAAATGAAAGGCCACGCCCTCTTTCAAGGGGAGATAATTATGAATTGGCGAAAAATTAATGGCATCTTTTAAAAATCTACTTCTTAAGAACCACTGGGCCAGGAAAGATGAAACTCGTATGGAAGAATCCTCACGGGGTGTAGATTCAAGTTTGTTCAAACATGACCCCCCGGTGTAGGGCGGTCTACAATTGATGATTAAAGTTTTACACAGGAATATATAGGAAAAGTCTTTAATATCGTCTTCTTAAGAACAGCAAAGCCATGATTGGAGATATTTATATGGAAGCATCGTCAGGTGGTGTAGATTCAAGTTTGTTCAAAACATTACCCCCACGGGGTAGTGTGGGGCCACAATAGATGACCAAAGTTTTGCATATGGATATATAGGAAAACTCTTTTTAAAGATTCTTGTCAAGATAATAAAGTCATTGTTGGTCATTTTTATATTGAAGCATCTGCAGGTGGTGTACATTCAAGTTTGTACAAATCATGACACCCGGTGATAGGGTGCAGCCCTAATGGGTGATCAAGGGGATATATAGGAAAACATCTTTAAAAAAATCTTTAAAATCTTCTTCTCAAGAACATCAAACCATGGTTGAAACTTATGTGAAAGAATCCATAGGTAGTGTAGATTCAAGTTTGTTCAAAATCATGACCCCCTGAGTAGGGTAGGGCCACAATGGATGATCAAAGTTTAACATGAGAGTATATAGGAGAATCTTCTTCGCAAGAACACATGGTTTGTTATTTCATTTAAAAGCATCTTCAGATAGTGTAGGTAAATTTGTTCAAATTGTACCCCCTCCCTCTTACCCCTTCTGCTATTTAGAAGTAGGTCAGGACCACTCATGCATATAATGCTTTTAATACTAAACTGATTTTTGCTTTTTTTTACTAGCCAAAGTACTCGGGTGAGCGATGTGGCCCCTGGGCTTCTTGTTTGAAAATAATAAAAATAAAATACAATAGCTTTCTTTATCTCCATTTACAATACAGCTATGAGAAATTATAAAAAGGCAGATCTAAATTGAATATAATTTTTATTTTCAGTTATTCGTGTTTGCTAGAGATCAGCGTCCAGTGAACGAAAAAACAGGCACTGCCACTGTGAATGTGAAAATTGATTTTGATTCAAATGCAAATTTTTCAAATGGGAGTTGTGAAGCAAATGTTTATCCTCCAATATTTACTGCACCGTTATATTTTGTGAATATACTGGAAGGAGATTACTCGATGAACAACCAACTGCTCATACAGGTATGTGGATATCACTTGTTTCTATCTTCTTTCATTGCAAATGGAAGGAGTTTTTGATTAAATGAAATATATATGGGCCCCTTCAAAAATAAACTGCATCTGAGAAATATAACAACAGAAGTTTATATTATACAACTTTAAGAAATCCCTTTTACACTATAATTTCAGCATTGAAAGACCAGTTCGTCTTATAATTAACTCCCATTTATTTTATAATTTTTCACATTTTTCCATTAAAAAAATGCAAGTAAGGTACTTCATTGTTTAACATTTGCTGTAAGAGTTACAAATTCATAACATGATTTTTTTAATATAAAAATATGTATGTTTAGAACTGATGGATAGACATTTCAATTTTTAATTAAAAGTTATTTTAGAAAATAAAAAAAAAACCCAATTATATTCATAAATATTTCTGAATCACTCAAAATTAATTGAAACTTAACTTCACGATCAGAACTAGGGATGTTGAAATTTTTTTTCTTTCCCACAGTAAAATGTTGTTATTAAGAAATGCACATCTTGGAAAGGTTAATAGAGTTTCAGCTTACCTGAGCTCTAAACTCAAGAGAAGTTTCCTGATCATCTGTCATTTGGCATCGTCTGTCTGTTTGTCACGTACTCTAATTAAAACTTTTACAGTTTTTTTCTCTAAACACATTCAGACTTTAACCAAATCTTGAAATTATTATTTGTAAACGAAATACACTTGACCGGATTCTTGCAAGGAGAATTGAAAAAATCACTAAAACAAAAATTCAAACTATTATGAAAACTCCTTGGAAATTTAGATTTCATCTTAATCATTCGATCATTCAAAAACATTTTTTTTCTCTTAAAATTATGTTCACTGGATATGAGATTTGAGATTCAATTAACATTCTGTTTGTTTCGTTGGATTAAACAAACAACCATTTTAAGTGTCAACTCAAATATACTTATGTATTTTAGATTTTTGCCTCTGACGACGACGTTGGAAGAAATGGGGCAATAGTATTTGATATTCAAAGCGTTTCCAACAATGGAATCGAAAAGTTCAAGCTAGCTGAAACTCAACAAGATGGAATGATTGCCATTTTATGTATCAGTACTATATCTAGAGGTGAAACCTATGTTATAATGCTCCGTGCATCGGACCTCGCTCTACCGATATATAGTAGAAGGTCTGTATTAATTAGATAACATACGAGTTCAGTTATGCCCACTGTGAATATTGTGACAATTTTAGACATTAAGACTGATTAAATCATTAAATGCATTAATTGATTTGTACCAAAATATCTCTCAAATGTTGATTTCTTTCTTGCAAAGAAAATGAATCACTCATATTTTCAAAATAAATAAGCTCTTATTTTTTTCCCTTTTTTTAATGCAGAAAGTCATAAAAATCTCTTTGTTTTATTTTTTCATTTACTTTCGATGATTAAAGGTTTTGAAGTTGATATTTTCTGTATAATATCACGACTTATATATTTTAAAAGAATTTCACACAGAAATATATTATCGCAAATCTTGCTTGAAAGTATTCACTTCGAACGAAATACCGTTGTTTTGAGTGACGACACTGATGAATCTGACTGAAATACAATTGCGAAATCAAACAAAGAATCTGATTGGTGTTTTTTTTATAGGCCTGCCCACTTTCTCATGGAATGTTTCCAAGATAGTACAGCTGTAGAAAACGAGCAAACAAGTGGTAGGCCCCTATACTTATTTACCCGTACGAAAGTTTGAGGAAGAATAGGCACGGCTTGGGCACGGCTAAGACACGGAATCCACACAGGTTTTTAAAAAGCCACACGGGTTCTGTATGTCCAAGACACGGACACGGCTTCCGTGTCTGAAAGTGAGGAATCCTCACTCACAGAAACCCGTGTGGAGACACGGACTCCGGGTTCCATGGAGACGGTTTTTAACTCAGGCGGGTTTTGCTTCAAACTATTTATATCTCACAGCTTTTTACTGAGCATGCTCAATCATAACTTCCTTTATTTGAATATTAAATTGGAGGGATTTTTGGTCATGAGCTTAGTCAATGTGTCTTTTTGCTCTATTTAAAGGATATTTAACCAAAAGATGTCAGTTGAAATTGTATTTATGTCAGTCTGGGATAATTTATTCACTTTTGAACTAAATGCAGTAAGTGTAATCTAGAATAAATTAGTCAATTTTACAATTTTCATGATCTTCCTGTATTGCGATGTTGACAATGAACATGATGAAATAGTTTAGGGTTATTTGAATGACTTTAGTTGGACTTTCACTAATCCTTTTTTAATTAGTATATATTTTATGTGACATCACTGTGCTATAGAGTGAAAGTTTTATTTAAACTATATTCTTTCTCAGATTGTGCAGTAGATTGAGCTACTAGATTAAATTACAATTGAATATTGTACATTATCATTAAAATCTTAATTAAAAACTAGCATTGATTGTAACTGATAAAGTTAATCTTTAGCAGAAAGTAGATGTACACATTCATATAAGATTTTGGACTTTTGAAATTCCAAAACTAAGCATAAATGTAAAGCAATGTGAAGTTAGTTTGGTTTCGGTCGCCATTTTGGCATTCACAGTTACATCAGGAGATTCTCTAAAGGCCATGACCTAGATCTAGACGAATGCACAGATCCCGTGACTCCTTATATGGTATATGGCACGGCTTTTTTGACACGGGTTTCAAAAAAACCGTGTCTCCATATATGGAAAAGGACACGGGTTTCAGACACGGGTTTACAGAATCCGTGAGTCCATATATGGAAACAAGCACGGCTTTCTGACACGGGTTTTGTAAAACCATGTGATCTCATTTAAATAATTCGGCCAATATCCCGTGCCGTGTCCGTGCCTCAACCACTTTTAGGCACGGCTTTCCATACATGCTTTACATAGGAGCACGGAATGCTAAAGCATGGGTTTCAGGAGACGGAATCCGTGCCTGAGCCGTGTCTAAGCCGCCCGAACTGTTTTGTACGGGTAGTGGACCTATGCTATACATTATTAAATTATTGTGAGTGTGGGTAACCTGTATAATGATCTTCAAATAAAATCTGTTCCAGGACTGGCAGAAAATGACTTAAAATGATACACGTCACCCGGGGCATATTTTTGCGATTGAAAAACACAGCCGTTTTTTCTTCAGTACATCAATAAAATTAAACATACTTAGATTTGGTAAATATAAGTGATAATAATTATTTTTATAGTGAACATGAACATAATATTCACCATTACAGTTAAAAGTGCACTGCACAAGGATTTTGATTTTTTTTTTCTGATGGCATGTATTAATATTTACATTCGCTGTATTTTTCTACTAAGCCAACTGTGAAATTGATTTGAAAACCATTTTCGTGTATATACTGACGTAGAAATATACATGGAGAAACGTGCGATTACGTGACGTCACAATGAGGCTACAGCGACGTTAGTAAAATGCAACGATATAGGGCAGCGAGAAATTCAATTATTGAGTATATTTTCGGTGATTCCAAACAAATAAAATGTAAATATAAGGAATGTCTTTAAGTTTAGTGTGAATTATTGGTGTGAGAATCACACAGACTTGCACGTAGACATATTTTTCATGAAGCGCTAGCGCACACACACATTTGAAGCATGGTAATTTTGACAGTCGTGAGAACAAAACAGTAAACTTTTGAATAAATTCGATGTTTTACCACAAAGGAATTAAAAATTTTTTAACAGGTGCTCCGGAATTAGCTGGATATGTTTTCTACGCAAGTTCGCGTTTTCAATTTGCAACACCGAAAATGTCGTGAATAGAAAATCGGCAGAATTAAATGTATAATAAAATGAAAATAGTGTTTGTCATCAAACGATATACATGAACCTTCTGAGAAAGGAATATATCACATGCTAAAAAGTGATTCTGTATTTTGTCAAAAAATTTACCATCGGTTTTTGACAATCGCAAGGCCGTTGGACGCTTTTCAACTTATATAGGCAAAAGATACTGTTCGAGAATGGGCGGGTCCTAATCAACCAATTAAAACGCTTGTTTAATAGAATGAAACCCCTGGTTCAAATTCTTCAATTGTCAAATCCAATATTGTCATCACTCAACACAACGCTATTTTGGTTGCAGTGCATACTTTCAAGCGAGATAAAAATTCCATTTCATCTTAAATTAAAGCTACTGAAACGTCAAATTTTTGGATGGGTTTGATTGACACATCCTTGCACTCTCACGAATTTTACTTTTATTCTTTAAAATACTTTAAAAAGTGACAATCTCGTTGTGTATTAATGAAAAATATTAAAAAATTTAATCCAGAAAAATACTTATATTCAGAGTAGAAATGTTAGCAAAACCCCTCTACAAGTATAGTCATTGCGCGCTAAGTGTTGTGTACCGAGTTTAGCAAATTGATCACACCCGTGAAACGTACACAGTTTCTATAAACAGGGCACAAGCTCTGTTATTGTTGATGTTTACGATTCACCGGGAGCGTTCAATTGTTGAAGTCTGCTCACCACAACTGCACGGAATGACAATATACTGTGTGTATATTTTGCTTTCAAACATTTCTATTCTGAATTTTCTGGATTATAGTTTTAATATTTTTCATTTATGCACAACAAGATTGCCACTTTTCCTAAGTAATAAGAATAAAAGTAAAATTAGTGAGAGTGCAAGGATATGTTGTGTCAATCAAACACATCCAAAAATTTAAAGTATCAATAACTTTTAGATGAAATATGATTTTTAATATATTTTTGTGTGAAATGCTAGTAAAATATTTAAGTCGTAATATTATACAGAAAATATTAACTACAAATCTGTGTCCATCCACCTTTAAGGAGCCCTGTCATTTAAGCAATCAAGAGAATATTTATTTGCTGTACTTTGAATAATCTCTGGGTTTTGAATTTTTCTAATGAGAATAATTCATGCATCTGTATGTACGTTATATGAGATTATCATGTAAAAATTTTTGAAGTCAAATTAAAAAAACATGCATATCAATTATCAAGCATTTTGTTTAAAAAGAAAATTACTGTCTGGATTCCGTATTGAGTATAGATTGTATACTATGTTTTGTGACTTCACCATTACAGAAGTTCTTCAGTTCCAATAGAAGTCAAAGTCGGTCCGTTTTCAGTACATTAAAGCTAATAAAAGAAAAAGGTCCATTCAAGCAAAACTTTTGGTGAGTTTCTAGTTTCAAAACATTCATTTGCAATTTATCTCGCTATGCATGTGATATGCATGCGAGAATTATTCATTAAGTTCGAGTACAATGAGCTCAATGTCATTTTTAGGTTATACATGTACATATACTTATTGAACTCCTAAATATTATTCATAAATATGCATGTCAGAATAGTTTTGTCTTTGTTGTTTTAATTTAATATTTTTGATAGAAAAACGACTTTGGCTAGCTGAATAAAAGAGCGTTCAATCATAGGATTGATTATTATGATTGAAGCATAATCATAAGATTATGCTTCAACATGATTGATACAACTTCAGAGACAAAGTGATTATTCAAGCAACTGTTTGTTGTTTGACTATATTTAGTTCCTTGATTTGACATTGGTATAATTTATAATTTAATGGTGTACACAATTTGCAAGATTCAATAGGAAGAAGCAAACTATTGTTTTTTGATTAAATAGGATATATCTAATCATCACCTTGTCCTAAATCCAACGCAACGTCGGGTTGATCTGTGCAGCCTGTGTATACGAAGTGTCTAAAATAATGATGCACATAAATATTAATTGCAAATTGTTTTTAAAAATGATATTAAAAAGATGCTTGAGTTTCGAGTTGATAATATCTTTGTAGTTTTTTTTTAGATTAGGTCTTAAACTAATCTGTTGAAATTCCCATGGTTACCGTCTGCAATCCGCTGTTTACAGACCTATTTTTGTATTGTATTCAGATGATGCGGAATTTTAAAAAAAACATCTACACGTGAAAACCAACAAATGGTTTTTGGCCTTCAACTCGACATTTAGTTATATCGACGACGGTGTATCATTTAAGGAATGAAGCTTATTTCAACTTATGTTATCCGATATAACATAACTTAAGGCAGTTTACGCTTTATAAACCGCGAAGCGGTTTATAAAAAAGCTTAAACTGCCCCAAGTTTTGTTATATCGGATAATATAAGTTGAAATTAGCTTCATTCCTTATAATTTAATTCCAGTGTAGACAATGAGACAATATTTCCTCCGGAAAAAGACTTCAAATTGAGCATTATTTTAAAAGTAACGTCAAGCGGAGTAATACATTTTTGACGTAACTCATTGTGACGTAGGCAAGTTATGTTATCCAAAATATTATATGTTCCTCTGAATGATTAAGCCAATGAAATTGCTTGATACAAGTGAAATTGTTGTTACTTTCATTCATATGTAGACTCGATATATCCCAGTGAACTTGAAATAAAAGCTCATACATGTACCACAGAGTCAATTGTTTTATATTTGGATATTTTACCAGCAAAAGATGATAATGGTTATCTAACAACCAAACTTTATGAGAAACGTGATGACTTCAACTTTTCAATCAACTTACCTTATTTGTCTAGCAATTATCCCTTATCACCTGCATAAGGAGTATGTCTTTCAGTTGATTCGATAAGCAAGAGCATGCTCTACGTATGAATTACTTCTAAAAAGAGGCAAGCTATTGACTAACAAGTTGATGAAACAAGGATATAAACAGTCTCGTTTGAAATCATCATTTCGAAGTTAAATAAAAAATAAAAGCATATATCTACGAAGTTTATAAACAACCCTTGTATATATCCGGGTTTTTTTTCATTTTAAAGTTGAAATCTCATTCAACTACTCTCTTACGGAACAGTTCATAATTTGGCATAATGATTTATGCAGTGACTTGTAAAAAATGGAAATTAAATGTAGTTAAATTTTCCTGCATGTAATATTTTAATGTTTGTTTCAGTTTCTACCTCTCTTCTTGATGAAAAATATCTGATGAATGGAAATAGAACAAGAGCATAACTTTTAATGGTGGATGAAGAATAAATTAAATCCTTCATTTGAATTTAAGGATGTGTTTTCATTTGTTTTTGGAATTAAACACGGATGCTTAAACGATGAATGTTATTTTCATGGTTATTCTCGTAAACTTGGTTTTATATTAGATTGGTGCTGACATATGTGAAAAGTGAATATGATGTAGGTTGATTGTATGGACACGAACTACATGAAGTCATAACTTTTAAACATAATTTTTCGTCATATGTGTTCATCTAGCCGTTGTAAGTCTTATGTTTTTATGAAGTATGATGATACATGTATCTAATTCTTAAATTGCTGAAGGCAAATAAACATGATTACTTGTCATTTGTATATCATTTTAAAAATGTCGGCTTCATATGAATTTTTATTGAAATGTGTGCCGGAGAAGTTGCATCTGACATAATTATAATGATTATCAAGATTTAATTTTATACCATTATGCCATGTTAAGATTCATCTAAAGGTGCGTCATGCAAATAAAGGTAGATGTTATGGTGTATTTATGTTACTTTATATTGTGCATGCTTAAAATTCATAACCTAACCTACGAAAGTCACAATTTCGCAGTTTTAATTGTATCGAAGATTTTATATAAAATAACATATCAAAGTTTTACGTTGGTAAATTAAAATATTCAACTTTTAATGACCCTCTGCTCTAAATTTCACATTTCCCAACAAATATTTTCATTAAGAACTGTACCATTAGCTTCAAATGGAAAATGTCGTCCGCGTGGCGCAGTGGTTAGAGTGACTGCTCTAGAGTCCCCAAGAAAGGAGTTAATCCTTACGTCCCGGGTTCGAATCCCACTTTGGGACGTGGAGACCAGTCCTTCCGATTAAACCGTATAAACCGAGGTCTCCCCTTGCTCAATGGCCCTGAGTGCCGAGTTTAGGACAAAATTTGCAGCTCTCCATCGGTAGGTGTTGGCGTCTCCATATGAGTGAAAAATTCTCGAGAGGGACGTTAAACAATATATAAGCGATCAAAATTCAAGAATAATACTTAAAATAAAAAAAAATACGATTATTATTATCTTTTAGAAGAAGTCATTTTTCTAAATGTTGCAGAATACCTCTAATAAAGAATAGTAAGTTTCAACTTATCGAATGAGAGGTTTATTGTATTCATTTGATTCAGATTACAAAATGACTTTCTCTGTGCAGTATTTAGATGTAGGATATGTGTATCTGGTACATGCATGTAGAAGATCTGTAATATGCAATTTGTTAAAAGTTGTATAACGTTTTTGAACATTTCTGGTAAGGAACAGTGTCTAGACAGTTTAAGCTAAGAACAAGTAATGTAAGGCCAATATACGTAGGATTCATCGTGAATCTTTCCATTTGATATATATAAAAATCGGTATCTCTCTTCTGTTCTTTCGCTTACCCGAGCCAAAGTCTTTAGTAAGCATTCTGATCAAAATTTGTTATTATATATTGCCACCGTAATCGAAGATTCGGAAGTATATAGTTTTTGCCCTTTCCTTCCGATTATCTTTCTTTCTATCTGTTTAGCTGTTTATTTGTTTGTCTGTTTGTCCCTAAAACTTTTAACCTTGCTCATAACTTTTGACTGTATGGAGCTATGGCTTTCATATTTCACAGGTCTATTCCTTGTGACAAGACCTTTCTTTAGATACCACCAAATTTAACCTCTTGACCTTGGAGATTGACCCACTTTTTACAAAAAAAAAAAACAATCTTAAAATTTAACCTTAGCAATAATATGTGAACATTTTCTGCTAGGGCTTTCATGTGTATTCATTGTGATGACAAGACCTTTCAACTAGTATAAATATTTGTTTCACCTTGACCTTGATTAACGTACATCTTGTTATCGATGATAATTCCGTCTTTTAAAAACTTCTCTTAAAAAATCAATCTTTATATATGTAAGACTCTAAAGTGCGATGGTGAAACGAAAGTCCGATGGTCTCGCCAAACCCCGATGGCCTGCGCAAAACCCCGATGGCTCGCTGTCTTTACGAACCCCAGAGTCCAATGGTCACGCCAAAGTCCGATGGCTCGTTTCCTATGAGACACGCGACGCTAAAATGCGATGGTCTGACACGCCAAAGTCCGATGGAGCAAAGGAACAATCAACATTTATGACGTCACAATAGTTCGATGTCATGACGTTGTCCTCCATTCAAAATCCATTGATTTAGTATTTGTCCCGCTTAGTGATTTTGCTTTTTTTCGCCCATCAGAACTATTAGGATAAGTCCTTGTACACCATTCCAGTGATTGGGTTAGTTCTTGAACACCAATGTTTTTCTTCGAACTCACCCAAGAGATTTTATGGTTAGTCCTCGCACACTATTGGACTGATTTGGATTAGTCCTGCACCAATCCAAGATACCTAGCTTATGGTTGTTACACATTTTTTCGACTGATAAGTGTTAGTCTAACCCTAATCTTTTGGATATAGGTGCGAGACTAACACTTTGCATTTAATATTTATTTGTATTTATTTTAAACAATCGGGCCTTGGCATGGCGCGGCATCGCATTTTGAGCAGTAGTACTACGACGTCATAAACGGTAATTGTTTCTGCACCATCGGACTTTGGCGTGTCAAACCATCGGGGGTTTGGCGCAGACCATCGGACTTTGGCGTGACCATCAGACTTTGGAATCCCATTGCACTTTGGAGTCCTACATATATTTGACAAATTCTGCTAAAAATTAAAATTCAGATTATCGACATATACGGAAATTAATCCGATTCCATAATGAAATAAGCTTTCCCTTACAATTTCTATAATGACTAACTTTCAACGCATGATAGGCGCTTTATTAGATATGTGTACATCAAAGATCAGCATTATGCAAAACTACAAATCATCAATATCGAAATGCATAAAAATTTCAAAATCTAATAATCTAATAATAAACTTGTGTAATCTAAAAGTGACATAACTTTTTTTTTCAACTAACCTTACACCTAATTCACACAAATAATGGGGGGGGGGGGGGGGGGATATGTTTTTGGATGTTCTTGGATGATAGATTTTGACAGTTCCAAAATGTTTTTTTGGGGGGGTTTCCCATCCAATGCATTGGTCTTTGTATCCGTTTTTAGCTCTACTGGTCAGAGACCAGAAGAGCTTATGCGATAGTAAGGTGTCCGTCGTCCGTCCGTCTGTCTGTCTGTCTGTCTGTCTGTCTGTCCGTCTGTCTGTAAACAATTTTTCAAAATGCTACTCCTCCTACAGTTTTGGTCTGATTTTAATATAACTTGGCACACAATTAGACTACACTAAGATACATAAAATAGTGCATCTGTTTTTGATTTCGTTGAACGGTGTTGCCATGGTTACTAAAAATAGAATTTTCTGTGAAATTCCTTCAAAATGCTACTCCTTCAACAGTTTTGGTTTGATTTCAGTATTACTTGGCACACAGGTAGAATACATTAAGATACATAAAATAGTGCATCAGTTTTTGATTTCGTTGAACAGTGTTGCCATGGTTACTAAAAATAGAATTTTCTGTGAAATTTCTTTAAAAGCTACTCCTCCTACAGTTTTGGTCTGATTTCAGTATTACTTGGCACACAAGTAGACAACACTAAGATACTTAAAATAGTGCATCGGTTTCTGATTTCATGCACAGTGTTGCCATGGTTACTAAAAATAGAATTTTCTGTGAAATTCCTTTAAAAACGCTATTTCTTCTGCAGTTTTGGTCTGATTTCAAAATTACTTGGCACACAAGTAGACTATATTAAAATACATAAAATAGTGCATCGATTTTTGATTTCGATGAACGGTGTTGCCATGGTAACATAAAATAGAATTTTCTGTGAAATTTCTTTAAAAGCTACTCCTCCTACAGTTTTGGTCAATGGCTTCTTTTCTCATCCTTTTTATAAGTACATACCAGTAGAGCTACAGTCTCGACAGAGACTTCTGGTTAAGCATTAATTTGCCTCTCCTAGACACAGAAATAGCACAGCTCATGTAACTTTTATATTTCTGTATGCAATGCTGTTATTTTCGGCGCTACATTTCAACAAAACGAAGACGAGTATGGAAAATAAGCAAACCACTAAGAAAAATAATCAATTTGAAAAATTCAATAATTAATTTTATCTGTGAATACATACGGTAGAATCATACAGATGTAACACTATACCATTTATAATTAAAACTTAAGACAATTATTAAAAATAATATGAACCTTTGACAAGAGATATTTAATTACATATATTAGGGCAACGTTTCGTACTGAAGTTCGATTACGGTAAGTTTTATGGCAAGAAGAAGGTGACATTAGTTTGTACGAAAAATCATACTGGCTTAAAAAGTGCGCGGAGCTGTTCACTTGTGAAATATGAAAACTCTAATACTAACTGTTCAAAATATATGGCCAAAGTTAAAGTTTTTTTTACGAAGTGGGACAAACTCTAAGGTCAAGGTCAAAAGGTAAAAATTGTTGGTACTTGTATCAAGAGGAAAGTATTTTCAACAAGTAAAATATTTGCAGAATGAAAGTACTAGCAAGTTTTGTTCAAAAGTTATTACGAAGATTAATATTTTTTTTTGTAAAAGTGGGTCAGATTTCAAGGTGAAAAGGTCAAATATGAGGTACCCAAAGAAAGGTCGTTTCACAAGGAATATAACTATGAAATATGAAAGCCATAATCCCGACTAGTAAAACGTTATGGACAAGGTTAAAGTTTTTTGTGAACAAACAGAAAAACAGAAGATGGTCCGACGGATGGACAGGGCAAAATCTGTATACCCCCGAATCTTCGAAGACGGGGCATAAAAACCCTTACAGAAAAATTACAGGGCGAAATGTTGAGTCACGGTTTTTCTGCAGTCACATTACTGCTGTATGTCCGCCGTCACGAAATGTCCGAATCTTTTAAAAAAAAAATCGTCACGTAATGTCCGCCTAAGCAAGTGGTCAGCGTGCCAGTCTCGTAGGAAAATGATACTCAAGTTTTTTTATTGCTAGGGTTCGAACTCCACGAATACAATATTTTTTTTTATATAAGAGAAAAAATTTATACGTAATTTTGTAAATTTCAATAATCGAGAACTTTAAATTATTTAAGGAGGCTGGGGGGTCAACAAATTAATCACAAATTAACCATAAGATTTAACTTATATTTTAAGATATGGTATCTTAAGCTGTCAGCTATCATTTGGCAAAGAAAAAATTCATACATTTTAGTTTTAAAATTTGATCATTTTTGTATATCTTTATATGGAGCTCTTCTTTTAAAGGAGATCGAAATAGTCTGAAAATGGCTGCCACCCCCCAGCCTCGTTAACTACTAACTTTACAATTTGAGCATGATTATATATACATGTAGGCTTTGTGTAC